CCTGCCTTCAATCTTACCTTTCTTCCATTCTTCCACCTGCTGCTGGAGTGACCTTCCCAAATTGCAAATCTGACCACATTTACCAGCCTAAAAATCAAACAGCAAGCCACCTCCCTGAGCCAGCAGCCAAGCTTCAAGATAAACTCTAAACTCCATGCCAGGACCATGAAGTTCTTGGCTCCTCACTACGGATGTGCCCCTGCCCTGCCCGCCCCAACCTCCTACCCCACCACAAGCCTCATCCCTCACCCCACCATCCTGGCTCCCATCTGTCCCTTGCTGGGTCCTGGCTCCCTGACACCCTGTGTCCCCATGCTTGCCTGCTACCTTTCTGTCTCCCCGTCTATACTGCAAGCTCCGTGATAGTGTCTTTCGTCTCTGAATCAATAGCACTCACATGGTGCCTGATGCACAGTGTGTGTTCAATATTTACGAAGTGAATCGGTTCACATCCTTAACACCAAATAGTCCAGGTGGCTGCAGTCCCCCGAGCCAGTGGGCCTGCACTTGACCACCTCCACGTGTAGGCACACGTGTGTCTACTGGAAATGCCTGCCTGTTGGCCTCTCTTTACTCAGACGAACGTCTCTGCTCCATCCATTATGGGCTGTTCTTCTAGAATTGCTGTGGGTGTTGGGAGCCCTGTGTCCTTCCTCGGCTAATCATTTTGTGACTGCAGCAGCCTGCATTTTTCTGCTCTGTGTATACAGAGAAGGGTTGGTGGGGGCGGTGGACCTGTGAGTTCTGAGGTCTCTTGCAGAGAGGAGAGTTCCAGGCCTCTAGAAAATTTGTGTTGAAACTTGTGTCTCCACCGTGGGCTAATGAAGGCGAGAAGGTGCTCCCTGGGAGACTGCGACTAGAGGCCCGGGCTGGCACGAAATGCGCTGGCCCAGGTGGGTAGGGCACTCAGAGCCACCTGCTTTGTGAGGAGAAGAAATAGGGCCTGGGCCAAGCCTGATTGGAAACTCGAGGGACAGCGGGACAGAACGAGGCAGCCTTTTGTTCCCTCCCTGTAATGCAATGCACATTCCCCACTTAAAGGCAATTTCTGCACTTCAAAAGGATTCCAGCTGGCGAAATTTAAGGTGGAGAATAAGCCCCCAGTCAAGAAGCTTCTCAGGGGCCTTTCAGTTTTCCTTGGCTTGAGAACGGGATGCATTTTTAAATGTTTGCCTCTTCATGTTTGTCAGAGCGCCAGGGGAGAAACGCTTCCTCTTACTTCCACACCTCTCTCGCTCAGTCATAGCTGGCACGGGAGCCAGCCACGTTTTCCTGTGCTACTTTGCCTTCTCATGAACCTGCCTGACTTCCTCTCTTTCTCTGCCTGCTCCCCCACCCACCCCCCAGCTCACACCTCACCCCTTGGGGGAGGAGAGAGTCCCCGCCGCCCCGGGGCCACTAGGCTTAGCAGCTTTCCTCCAACAGATGCTGAAAGGACCAACAGTTAGGCTGACACACCTCACAGCTGACACTCCAGGACATGCTCTCCCACCTGCCATTCATTCATTCATTCATTCATGCATGCATGCATTCACCTGTTCACTCTCTCACCTAGTCACCCAGTCAGCCAGCATAGGATCTGAGGTGCTGGGGGGCCCGCGGGTGACTCAAAATCAACACACAGTCTCTCTCTCCTAGCTTACAAAGTGCTTGAAGCTTTGAGAGATAGGAATGAGCAACTACAGCACAAGACAGAGGAAAGTCAAAATCCAGTTTAGAGGGTAGGGACATTTTAAAAGCACAGAGAAAGAAGAGATCAGCTAGGGATGTAGGTGGAGCCCAGAGGGAGGCAGTCAGGGAAGGCTTCCTAGAGGAGGAAGCACTGTGACGGGAGCAGGGTCCAAAGATGCCAAGGATGGGGAAGTGGCTGATGCCAGAATATGGAGGTGGAAAGCTCTCTGGTGGGCACAGAGGCGCAGCTACACCCCTCTTTCCAGGGCTTTGGAGTTTGTGGGGGGGGGGGGGGGGGGGGTTCCCGGGCATGTCCACTGGCAGTCACTGCTTTGGTGGCATTGCTTCAGTCACCTTGGAAGCAGCGCACCATCCCCACATAGCAGTCACCAACTCGTGCCCTTCTCCGTCGGGCCCAGAGGAAATACCTCCATGCTCTTCTCTGTCCTAAACACTCAGGCTCCCCGCACCCTTTTCTTGAGGGATCCAGATAGCACTTGCTCCTCCAGCCTCACTAGTCATGCCCTATCCCTTAAGTGAAGCTCCAACCACCACCTTCCCTAACAAGGACTATCCTTCCTGCCCACCCCCTTCCATTCTAACCCGGGAAAGCTTCCCTTTGGCCAGCCCACCCCTGCCTGTGCCAGCACCCCCTGGTGTCTCCCTTAGAGCCCCTGCCAGTGGTCCACTGGCCACTGTGGAGTTGGGCAGACCTGGCTTTGACCCTGGCTCTGGAACCTTTCAGCTCTGTACTTGGCCAGATTACTCACTTCCATAGGACCTGCCCTGGCATTTCCTACCTAACATCCTTTCACCCTTATCTGATCAATCACACTTTGACTCGCATTCAGGGCAACCATCCTCCTCTGCTTTCAGTCCTTGTAGATTAAGGGGAGCTGTAGAGGGTCACTGCTAGGTTCAGGGATAGGCACGAGACCAAAGTGAGACCAATCCTGTGACTTTTGGTGGATGGAAATTCCTATTTCCACTGGGATTGACAAACTGGTCAAACACAAACCTAAGGCTGTTCGGGCCATCTTTGTCACCACAAGGAAAGAGTCTATTTACAAATAAAAACAGCACAGAAAAAAACAGTCAAGAGACAGATTCCTGGTGACACGAGCACCTGGATCCAGCCTTGCCTGAAGTTATCCCTGGAGTTTTCAGTTTTGTGAGCCAATAAGCTTCCCCTGCTTTTTTGGCTTACACCGATTTGAGATGACTTTTTGTCACATGCCACTAACAGTCTTGACGAAAGAAATACTTAACTTGGAGACTTAATAACAGAATTAAATGAAAGGCCCAAGTAGTGCCCAGGAATAAGGTGGCACTCAATGACCACTTTTGGCAACTCTCTCTGAATCTGCCTTCTCATAGGTCTGTTACATTTCCATAAACTGTTGTTCCACAGTAGTAGAAAACTATGTTTTTCTTCTTCCCACAGCTTCGATCAAATCTTCCTTTGTAAAATCTTCGCCCTCCCTGGCTTTCTTGACCACAGCTCTGTGTCCCTCATAAGGCTCTACGTTTCACATCCGTTTTCCCCCCACCCCACTCCTGGGCTGAGACAGGATGGGTTTAACAGTGCAAGACTTCAGGATGTGGCAGGGGTGATATCGTCTTTGTGTTATGTGCTGATAACCCAGGGCGACAAAACCAAATCAAACCAAAGACTTTCCCAACAGGCTTCAAATCCCTGCTCTGAAGGATACCAGGTGCTCAGAAAAGTCTACACTGCCATCTAGTGGATGTCTGCAGCATCATCAGGACACAGAAGGGAGCCCTTTGGGAGAATTGCCTTGGGATTGTCTCTGGCCTGTGAAAGCATCTGACTGAACCTCACTATATAAGGGACAAACCCCAAGAGAAGTGAATGGATGGTGAAGCTGGGAGTCCTGTCCTGCAGAGTGGCATATACTCCTCTAAGAGACTGGGTTCCTGCCCGGCCTCTGTGGCCCTGCACCTCCCATCCCAGGAGTCACAATCAGCAGCCTTCCTTTCTCTGCTCCTCTTGGCTGTCCACAGGTATGCCCAGTCCAAGGGTTTCCAGGGAGGAGGGCTGATGTTGTGTGCACATGTGTGTGCATGCAAATGTGTGTGTACATGTGTACACATGTACACGTGTGTGCTTTATTGCTCATCTTCCCAAAGGAAAGGGTGTTTGTCATGTTTGCAAACAAGACAACCTATCAAAACTTCATGATAGCAGCCTCTTAACAATCTATTTGCTCTCTGATAGTGAAAAATGCTTCAAGGAAGAGAAGAGTCTATCCACCGCATTGGAGTAACCTGTGTGCTGCCGCCCTCCGGAGCTTACTGTCCTACTGGGCTTAGCTGACTGCATGAGGCCTAACCAAGGCAGCACTGCGGGGAAGGAAAAACCCCTTCTGGCCGCTCTCTGCCACGCTGCTCAGAAGGGACCAGAAGGTCAGCCTTGATGTGTGTACTTGATCACATCCCAGCCATGACCCTTCCATCTCCACACATTTGTGACCCGAGTCCTGCCTAGATTGGCACCAGCACCTCCTTCTAAAACACAGCAGAAAAGAGACCAGTCTCCACCATTAACACTCTGGGGGCTCAGTCTGGCCCAGGAGTCAAGAAACAAAGAAGCGGAGACCAGAAGGCCAGATCAGCTCCCCCAAAACACACTCTGGCTGCTGACAGCAGCCGCAGACCCACTTCCCACTTCTGTGACTCTTCCTCAGGCTTCCCAGACCCCACAAGGAAAGCTTCCAGAATAGTACTAATCACTGCCCACTAAAATAGTTATTTCCAATTCCTAAAATGCTTTGTTCTTCTTTTACACAACTTTGGGCAAAAGAAGAGCGTGTCTCATTTGCAACAACAAAGCGTCAGGATGCACTGACCTCTGCCTGTCCTGCTAAATACCAGCTTCTCTCCAGCCCAGAAGTCATCTGAAGACCCAGACACCCTGCACCTTGGGAGAGGACTCCTCTCATACCACCCCTTCTTCCATTTATCTGCCAACTCCAAAGCACAAACCAGCTGGTCTCCACCAGGCTTGGGGGCCCAGATCTCAGGGGCAGCCAAGGAGCTCCCAGAGCAGGGAAGCAGGAGGAGGCCTGGGCAGAGTGGCCTCAACCATCACCAGTTTCCAGTCTGCAGCTCTCCCACCGGCCCCCAGCCTTCTCCTCAAGTCCACTCTAAGGAAGGCACAACTTTATGTCAACAGCCATCTGCTGCCACCAGACCCAACCCAGATGGCTCTGCATGCAGCTTCAAGTCACCCAGATGAGCAAGCCTGGAGGAACATTAAGACCCCCAACTCTCCCCCGCCCTGCTTTAACACAGTCCTGCTCACTCACTTCCACGGCCCCCGGGAACTTGACTATTGGCGCCATCCAGGAGGTGATCTTCTGTCTGTAGTTATTACAATCAGGAACAACCTTGCAGGCAATGTTCCCCAACTCTGGGTAGAAAACTTCAAGGCCCCTATGAAGAGAAGAGGGAGGTTGCCCTGTGTCAGGGTTTTAGGGGAGCCTGGGGTTCCCAAGGCTTCAGTCTAGCACTATTGGGAATGTAAAGTGAAATGGGATTAAATCCCAAACCTGCCACTAACTAGTTGTGTGGCCCAAGAGTTACTTGACCTCCTTGTGCCTCAGTTTCCTCATCTGTAAACTGAGGACACTAATAATTCCTCCCTCATGGAGTCAGTGTGAGGAGTAAAGTCGAGGTCAATGGTCAGAACAGAACCTGGCATGTTGTAAGTCATCAGAAAGTGTAATATTAATTATCATCAGTGTTTACTTCCCTAGAAGAATAGATATCCTCAGGCAAACTTAATGTCTTTAAAGTAGGATTGAGTTTATAAAAACAATACCTATAGATTTCTTTTCAGGAACATTCTTATTACAGAAAAAAAGGCTTAGCAAGTCAGCATACCTTCCTTCAAGGGCATAGACGTTCTCTCTCCCCTAAACAATCAAGAGCTCCCCATGCCTGAAATCCTGCCATTAGGTGAAGAATTGGCTTCTTTGGGTTAAGCATTGACCATAGCCTAGGTTCTCTTTCAAAATGCAAACATCCCTCAGGGGGTAAAACATTGGCTCACTAAGACAGTGAGTATGAATGAACTGGTTCATCTATTTGCTCCCTGAGAAGAAGGGCCCAAACAGCACCAGCGTTCTGAGAATGTGGCTTCCTGGAAGGGAAGAAAATATGATGCAGAGCAAAGTGACAGAGTCTGCAGGGCAGGGCACGGCGGGCCGGGCCATGACTGCACCAGGCTGGCCTTCAGTGCATGCTTATATTTGAAACTCAGAAACGTAGGTAAGATTTTTCAAAGACATTTTTAAAAACTGTTTTTGCTTGCCCTTCTATTACATTTTATCTCCACGACCCAAGGCCTCTGTAGGGTTAATGTGGGTTAAGACATCACTGAGAGAGAAGCGGTGTGGGTATGGAGTGGGTGTTGCAAGTCCCCAGCCTTTCCTAACAGCCTTGCATGGCTAAGCTGCTCTACAGCCTGCCAGTAGCCACCCACAGTTGTCCACAGTGCCTTGCTGCAGGTGATGCCTCAGGGGACCCTGTGAGGATGTCATTTGGAGAACAGTTCTGGAGGGAGAGCTCCCTGAAGCTGGGGCCTGGGAGTAGGCCAAGAGCAGCTTCCTGGTGGGGAGCCCCGCATTCTTCCTCCCGCCTTCCACCTCCTACTCTTCCAGTGGCTCCTGAATTCCAGCCTTAGGCAAAAGGCCGCTGAGCCCCCAGCACCTGGCAGCCGCGGACCAGGACACTTCGGCAGGCCAGCACCCCCAATGCCAGAAGTCAGGTGCTCTGGTCTCAGAGGGTGGAAGCAGGACGAGTCAAGGTCTTGCTAAGCAAATCTGTGCCTTCGAACTCTTTGCACATTTACAGCAATTCTAGGTGGATGGCAAGATTTTCACAGCTTTTGGGGAAGTTTTAGGGGACCAGTTTTATCTTCCTAGCATCATCTTAAGGACCGTTTGGTTTGTTTCTGCTGCAACTCCTTGCTGCTGCAGCTAGCGAGATGCGAGGCAGAGAGGGGACCCTCCAAGGGCAGAGAGACAGAGAGCAAGCAGCACAGCACGGGAAAACGAGAGGCAGGGAGGAGGGAAACTGAGGGTGGAGGGACGCCCTCACGCCCACAACCCCTCTCCCCTTTTTATCAGAGTGGAATGTTGTAAATATCAAAAGAATCAAAGAAGCAAAATCGGCAAATCGTTATTTGGTGAGGGGGGTGCAGAGCCACAGAGTGCCCTGAAGGACAGGGCACATGCCAGCGAACCAGGGATTGGGTTGTGTCCCTGTCCCTCTCTTCACACCCATAGGGCACTGCCAGGCCAGCGTTTGAAGATAGCATGTTGCCCCACCTAGGATGACGGGAAAGGGGCGTGTGCAGACCGCAGACCTCTGCCCGGCTCAGCTGCTTTAGCAAAGGCTTGGAGAAGGACACAGAGAGAAATTTATTTGATCTGCAGATGGCACAGAGCTGGTGACCAACAATTCTGATTGTCAAATCGAGTTACAAGATGATCCGGACAAACCTGAGGTGAGCTGAATCAAAAATTAAAGTTAGTGAGAAAATATACTTTACAATTTGCATTCAAGGCCAGGCACGGTGGCTCATGCCTATAATCTCAGCTCTTTGAGAGGCTGGGGTGGGAGCATCGCTTGAGCCCAGGAATTTGAGATCAGCCTAGGCAGCATAGTGAGACCCTGTTTCCACCAAAAATTAAAAACAAAAAACCAAGCAGGGTGGTGCATGCCTATAGTCCCCGTTACTTGGGAGGCTGAGGTGGAAGGATCACTTGAGCCCAGGAAGTAGGGGCTGCAGTGAACCACGACTGCATCACTGCACTCCAGCCTGGGTGACAGGGCAAGACTCCATCTCAAAAACAAACAACTTGTGCCGGGCGCGGTAGCTCAAGCCTGTAATCCCAGCACTTTGGGAGGCCAAGACGGGCGGATCACGAGGTCAGGAGATTGTGACCATCCTGGCTAACACGGTGAAACCCCGTCTCTACTAAAAAATACAAAAAAAAACTAGCTGGGCGAAGTGGCGGGTGCCTGTAGTCCCAGCTACTCGGGAGGCTGAGGCAGGAGAATGGCGTGAACCCGAGAGGAGGAGCTTGCAGTGAGCTGAGATCCAGCCACTGCACTCCAGCCTGGGTGACAGAGCAAGACTCCGTCTCAAAAACAAAAAACAAAAAACTTGCATTCAAGCCAGAAAACCTCAAAGGTGCCACCTTCCTGTGTGCCCTTGCTGCTTGTGGTTTACCTGACATGGAATTCATTCTAATTTCCATCCGGAGAGTTTGGGGATCTCCTGATCTCCATGACAAGACTTGGAGGCACCCTGGGGAGTGGAGTGAAAAGATCAGGGGCCCTGACCTGAGCTTTGCCATGAACTAACGCTACATAAGGGACTGGGGACGAAGGGCATGACTTTTACTGGGCCACCCCAATAGATCAGGGACATCACATATGTAGGATTTAATTTCATGCAACCATATCTTGAGGCAGCTCTTAACACTATTTCCATCTCCAGATGAGTAACTGAGAAACTGCAGGACAACACCTATTTGCAGCTGCTACGTGTTGGAGTGATCTGTTGTGTACAACAGAGAACGAGTACGGTGGGCTTGGCTGCACTTTCTTCCCTGCCCCGCACATTTTCCCTAGGGAGCCGTTTCATTCCTCCAGGCCTCAGTTTGAGCTAGGTGGTCACGTGAGTCTCTGTCATGGCAAGAATTAGATCACAAGGGCTGGTCGTGGTGGCTCAAGCCTGTAATCCCAGCACTTTGGGAGGCTGAGGTGAGACGATTACTTGAGCCCAGGAGTTAGAGACCAGCGTGGGCAAATGTAGTGAGATCCTGTCTCTATAAAACATAGAAAAAATTAGCCAAGTGTGGTGGTACGCATCTGTAGTCCCAGCTATATGGGAGGCTGAGGTGGGAGGATTGCTTGAGTCTGGGAGGTCAAGGTTGCAGTGAGCCATGATCCTGCTACTGTATTCCAGCCTGGGTGACAGAGGGTGACAGAGTGAGACCCTGTCTCTAAAAACATGGCTTCTCAGCTGTGCCTGTATGAAAGGCTTAGAATTTCAGCCGCCCCTCAGTGAGTGCTATTGCCTGAGTGTTGGTGTCTCCTCAAAATTTATATGCTGGAATTTAATCCTCAGTGTGATGGTATTAACAAGCGGGACCTGGAAGAGGTGATTAAGTCACCCTTATAAAAGGCACTCTCATAACAGAGGCTGAAGGGAGCTGCCCTTCCCTTCCACCAGGTGAAGTCGCAGCAAGAAGGTACCGTCTTTGAAGCAGAGAGCAAGCTCGCACCACGCACTGAATCCAGTAGCACCTTGATTTTGGCGCTTCTCAGCCTCTCGAGTTGTGAGTAATACATTCCTGCTGTTTAGAAATGACCTAGTCTAAGGTATTTTGTTACAGTAGCTGAAAAGACTAAGGCAGTGAGGACACAAAAAGACACATGGGATATGAGGCTGCCTTGAAGAGGGGGCTCACTGTGAAAGCGTGGGTCACCCCACTTGAAAAGCAGCAAGCTAGTTTTTAAACTGTTTTGTAGAGACGGAGTCTCTCTTTGTTGCCTAGACTGGTCTCAAACTCCTAGGCTCAAGTGATCCTCCACCTTGGCCTCCCAAAGTGCTGGGATTACACACGTGAGCCACTGTATCCAGCAGTGCATGCCCGTAATCCCAGCACTTTGGGAGACTGAGGCAGCAGGATTGCTTGAGCCCAGGAGTTTGAGACCAGCCTGGACAACATAGCGAGACCCCCAACTCTACGAAAAGTAAGAAACTTAGCTGGGCGTGGTGGCATGCACCTGTAGTCACAGCTACTCAGGACGTTGAGGCAGGAGGATTGCTCGAGCCCAGGTGTTCAAGGCTGCAGTGAGCTATGATCAGGTCACTGCACTCCAGCCTAAGTGACAGAGCAAGACTCTGTCTCTGAAAGAAATGTATTTAAAGAGAAGAGTAACCAAGGCCCCTGAGAGAGACTGGAGGACTGGGGATGACTGCCCAGGTTGGGGGGAGCTGGGGATGAAGGGGCAGGGCATGGCATCTGTCACCACACACATGATGACCACAAAGAAGATGAGAAACTAGACTAGATTGTGCACCTCCTGGATCTGCACTGGAAAAGGTGGGTTGATGTTCAAGAAGAGCAACAGGGCCTTGGGATAAGAATGCACTTTCTGAAGAATGGAGCTTTTCAACACCAAAAAGCAAGACGCTTTGAGCAGCAGCTGCCATCCCCAGGGGAGCTCGCAGGGCTGACTGGATAGCAGCAGGAGGGGTTTGTTGAGTGGATTCACCTCCCGGCTGCAGGGCTGGAGGATCACGGTTCTTTCAATTCTGCGACTGAGCCCAGGGTCGGTGGTTTTGCTGGTCTAGTCTGGGGTATCTCAGAAGCAGGGAAGGTCTGATTCCCGAGAAGCTTTTCTCTTAACAATGTCTCACTGTACATAAAATTCCTCCCTTATAGATGAATACTTTTAGGCACTGAGTCCAATCTTTAAGAGTTCCCTGGTAGACTGCAAATGCCCACGAGAGGAGTGCCTTCTCTGGGGGATCTCTTGCCAAGGTCAGAGCCTGAGCTGAGTGGGGATCTTGAGGAGGGCGTCAGTGCAGGAGGTCCTGCTGTCTCCTCAAGGGTCCTATCTGTCCCTGACGTATTTTCATTTCATCATCATTCATGATGATCTCTTCCAAACAAAAATCTTCTGTGGCAATAAAGACAAATCTCCTCTTTCGCGATGATGGCTTGAAATCAAAAGACATCTTCCTGGCACGCAACCTTAGGGTCATAAATCTGTTTCTCAAACTGGGGACCTGCTGGCGTATTCCGGGAGTCCTAAGAATGGCTCCCCTTGACTCGAGTCTGGGAGCCCTGGAATCGGGGTGAAGGTCGTCAGCAGAAGCAGATAGGGAAAGAGCATGAGTGTGGAGTCAGACAAGGGGACTAGATCTTGGCTCTGCCACTTTTAAGCTATGTAAACACTGTGGGCAGATTTCTTAATCTCTGGGGACTCTTCATCTGCAAAATGGGGGTGCTAACATAGACTCTGTAGGTTCATCACTGACAGTGAGAGAACTCAAGGAGTCCAAGCACCAGCAGAGCACCTGGGACACAGAAGGTGCCCTGGGACTTCCCACGTGTGCCCCCATGCATGGGTCACCAGGGTACCAAGATGTGATCTTGGCAGGGCAGAGCCTAGGGCACCCAGAACCTCAGGCTGGTCACCTCCAGCAACCCTACAGACATCCTAATTTCCCACAGTGTGGGAAACACCAGGAACCGCTGAGGTCCTCCTTAAGGGGCCATTATCACCGCCCAGGCCTGCTGTACCCCGACTCAGCTGACCTCTCCTGCTTATGAGGGCATTGAACTTGCACGGCGCAGAGCGAGAAGCCTGCCAGCCCCTCGGCTCACTCAGCAGAGCACCGAGAAAATTAGATCCCACTTGTGAGAGGCAACCATATTTCTCTTCCTCCTTCCACAAGAAAACTTCACTCAGAACTGTTTGTTTTTTGAGACAGAGTCTTGATCTGTTGCCCAGGCTGCAGTGCAGTGGCGCAATCTTGGCTCACTGCAACCTCCGCCTCCCAGGTTCAAGGGATTCTTCTGCCTCAGCCTCCTGGGTAGCTGGGATTACAGGCGTGCACCACCATGCCCAGCTAATTTTTTTATTTTTAGTAGAGATGGGTTTCACTGTGTCGGTCAGACTGGTCTCTAACTCCTGACTGACCTTGTGATCTGCCTGCCTCAGCCTCTCAAAGTACTGGGATTACAGGCGTGAGCCACCGTGCCCGGTCTACACCCAGAACTGTTTAACAAGATTTTTCAAAATGTACCCACAAGTCCAGACAAATGAAGGCTTGCTTTCTAACCGGCAGAGTCGGTGAGGAGAGAGCCGAACGCCAGGCTTTCAGCTTACCCTAAGTAGAAGCAGATTGTGCCCTTGGAAAGGAAGAAGCCAGCCTCATCACCCAACTCTACCCAGTGCCATGATCCCTAAAGGGCCCCTGCACAAACACTCCTGGGTCCCATCGTTGCAAAACACCTCTCACACAGGAAGGGTCTAATCACACACCTTCTTTCATTACAACACCTCTTGGTCGGGGTTCTGGGGAGAGGAGAGGGGGCATTCAGGCTATAGGGAGGGACGGTCTCTCTCTCTGGGTCTCTCTCTGAGGGTCTCAGCCTCCTGCCCCTGCCAAGACCCCCCAGGTTTGGAGGGCCCAAGCAGAGCCGACCATATACACAGCCCTCCTGGCCCTGGGAGAGGTGCATTCTGGAAGGCAGGAAGGAGTCTGTTTCTAAGTCCCTTTCTCAGCGCCATCCTCCATCAAGGTGGTCTCCAGACCTGACACGTGTTCTGTCTTCCCCATAAAATCAGGCTCAGGAGATGGTGCTCCTTGGTTTTGGAAATACCCCTCCCTGCGATCTACCTGCCTGGCAGCCTCTGTGCCTCCCGCCTCCAAGCCTGCCCTGACTTACTGGCACACAAGGGCGTCATCGTCCAAGAGGGCTTCTTGGGCACACGGGTTGTTCTCATCCTCGTCTCCAGTGATCACCATCACGAGACCCAGTAACAGGGCTGCTGTGACCAGCCTCATTGTCCAACCCATGGGCACCTGGAACAGAAGGCGTTTTAGAGCAGCTGGATCCCCTGCAGGGGATTTCCTGCCAAATACCTGTGCCCCCCACCCCAGGGGCCCACTTGGCAGGAGAGAGACCTCTGGTTAAGCACAGGGAGAAAGGCAGGCAGCTTCCAGGGCTCCGCGGCTAATCCAGTCCACCACCCGGACACAAGTACTTCGGGAGGACCTGGGCCTCCTCCAAGTTGGACTCAATGTACATTCCTAGCAGAGGCCCCTCCCCCTGGCAGGACACAGCCTTGTTGTCACTCTTGTCCTGGCTGCCAGGGCAGACAGCAGGCTGCAAAGTAGAAGTGCTTATATAAGCTTCTCAGTTCAGCTCCTCGTTCACTCCCTGCTCTTGGCCTGGGGATGGTCAGCTGGCCGAAGGCCAGCCTGCCCCTTGGCTATAAGGCAAGCCCTGGGAAGCTGGTGACCCCAGGCTCAGGGCTAGGAGTTGGGCTGTGCCCCTCAGACCGGCTCTGCCTCTCCTAGTCCCCATTCTTCCACCTGTCTCCACAGCCTGTGAGCTTCCCCAAGGTGGAGGTGGTTGGACACAGTAACCCTGTGTAGGAGGGACTGCTGCAGGGGATGGGGGCAGGCGCACCCCAGCCCGAGGCCAGCTCTGAAGGGCCAGCTGAGGACAGAAGGGTGCATCTGGCTGCACCTTGCAGCTGTGCTGAACTCAGCACTCTCCCAAAATAATCGTCTCTGGAGAAGGAGGTCTGGGGAGCTGCTTGGGGCTCAGAAAGGGGTGGCCTGCCCCAGCGCTGCACCAGGAAGAAGGGGAGCCAGGGACTGTCGCCTGCATTCCCTTAGGGAACAGTCCTGCCACCAGGTGCATGTGGGACTCTGGTTAGAGCCTGAGTGGGCAAGGAGAAGAACAAAGGCGGCTTGCCACAGCCTTTCCAATAGCTCTGCTCTCTGCTCTCTGCTTCTCAGAGGCAGGGGTGGGAAAGACATGCCAGCAACTCAGGACTCCTGGCTTCTGCTCTGAGCTCTCTCTGGATGCTGGGGAGGCCACTGCGTCTCCCTAGAACACACCACTTTTCCTTTTCACAAACAAGTAAAATAATTGCTGTCACCGTGGTGCCTTGCTAAGGAATATGAGATCATCGCTGTAAAGTATACACAGCTAGACCTTTAGAGAAACTACTTTTAGCATAGTCTGCTTTCTGGTTTAATTCCTACCTCCAGGATCCCAACCTGTAGCAAAAAGCCCCCCTTTGGGGCTACATATTAAACATATTTCTCTATCATTAGGCTCCCTGAAATACAGCCAGGACTCCCCTTGCCCCCAACCAGAAAACGTATTCCCAAGATCTCCCCTACTGGACAGAGTCGAATAGTAGCCTCCTCACAAGATCATTGTGAGAATGAAATCAACCAGGTTAAGCCCTCAGTAAGGTGCCTGGAACGTAGTAAATGCTCAATAATTTATGAATAGTCTAAGTATTCTCTCACAGATCCATCCATTCATTCATTCCTTTGCAACCCACTTCACTTATAGGCATTAAGCACCTCCCATGTGCCTGCCCCATGTTAGGCCCTGGGGTATAGGTTGAGCATGGCCTTGTCTGTATACAGCTCACAGGACAGCCACAGTCAAGGAGATGCTGCCAGAAGGGCTGCCCAAGACCAAGAAACTCATCTTACAAATGGCATCCACTAGAGAAGCCTCAACTTTCCTGGGTGTCAACTCTATTAGCACAGTGATGGCAGCCTGGAGGCAGGGAGAGCCCACAGTGCAGGTGGTTGCTGTTGAGCCCACTTCCAGTGGCAGTTCTTCCTTACTCCACGTGCCAGGCACTTTTGTCTCCAAATTCTCATGCCAATCCTTGGAAATAGGCACTATTATCACCCCATCTTATGGAGGAGGAGATGGCACAGCGACATTAGCTAAAACCTGATCTTGGTCACCAGGAAGTGGCAGACCTGGAATTTAAACCCCAGGCTCTGGTTGAACCTGTTGAAACTGGGTTGAGTCCGTTGAGTCCATGCTTTTTTTTTGAGACAGGGTCTCACTCTCATCGCCCAGGCTGTAGTGCAATGGGGGTGATGCCGGCTTCTGCAACTTCTGCCTTCTGGGCTTCAAGGGATTCTCCTGCCACAGCCTCTCAAGTGGTGCGGACTACAGGCACACCATGGCTCTGGCTAATTTTTGTATTTTTTGTAGAGACAGGATCTTGCATTGTTGCCCAGGCTGGTCTCGAACTCCCAGGCTCAAGTGATCCACCTGTGTGCTCCCAAAGTGCTGGGATTACAGGCATGAGCCACCACACCCAGCCCAGAGTCCACGCTCTTAACCACCTGGCTCCACTGCACTCTGTAGCTGCTCCATTGCCTCTTACTCACTCCCTTTACATTCCCTTTGTTCTTGGGAGAAGGACCCCAGAGTCCTCCACGTGGACCACAGTGCCCTGTGAGATCAGGCTTTTCCTGTCTCTCTAGCTGACTTCCTCTTCCTCTCACATGTTACCTCTGGCGGGTTCCTCAAGCTCCTTTCTATCCCAGGGCTATGATAGGCACCGACCCCACTTCCCACCTTCATTAGGGGGTTAGCTGAAATGCCATTTCCTGAGAGAAACTTGCTCTGACCCCTAGCATCCATCAGATTCCTTTTATAAACAATCAGAGCACCTTACTGCTTTCTTCATTATTCTTACATAGTTGTAACAAATTATTTTGTAGTTATTTGCTTAGTGATAGTTTCTCCCTCAATCACCCAGCCTATAAGCTTCTGGGAGGCAGCACGGAGACTGTCCAGCATTCTGAGCACCTTACGTGGAGTATATAGAGGTTTAATAAAATTCTTGTTTGAGTGCATAACACATGCCACTTCCGTTTCTGATCATCCTTATTTTCACTTAACAGCTCATAACTCTGTGTAAACATCAGTAGGAAACTAATCACTCAGGTTGGCCCTTAGCCCTGGATGCCTTTTGCTTATTTATCTAACCTTCTGTGGCTTGTTTTTGTGCAGAGAGATCTGGCAGAATGCAGTGGTTCTTGGGATTTTCAAATCCGATCTTTGTCTTGGGGATTTTCAGGACTTTGACTCATATTTGAAACCTAAGATCTGAAAGCCGTGTTCAAGCTTGCGGAGTGACCATTCTCCCTCCCCATCACCAGCTGGTATTGCTTAATTCTCTCACTCTGGAAAGTTCCATTGCTAGATTTCTTGGTGCCCACCCCTGAAGTCCCCCTCTCTTCCTTTAGTTACCTGGGCTGGGACCACCTCCAGCCAAGCCAAGCCAAACCTGTGGCTTCCGGAGACACATTGGTCCCTCCAGCTACCGGGATCTGTTGAACCACTGCTGCTGAAACTCTCCACTCCCTTCTTACCCCTCCAGGCCTCTTGTGCCTGACACCCTCCAATCATTGCCCAGGCCTCACCTCCTTTTTCTACCCAGACACAGACTCTTGTTCTTTCTCTCCCTCCTAAACCTCTCCACGTAGGCCCTCTGGAATCTCTGAACTATAGTGAACAAACCCCCTGAATTTTTTCATTGATTCCTAATAAAAAATTAATTGAGGCTGGCCAGGGTGGCTCGAGCCTGTAATCCCAGCACTTTGGGAGGCCAAGACGGGCGGATCACGAGGTCAGGAGATCGAGACCATCCTGGCTAACATGGTGAAACGCCGTCTCTACTAAAAAATACAAAAAACTAGCTGGGCGAGGTGGCGGGCACCTATAGTCCCAGCTACTCGGGAGGCTGAGGCAGGAGAATGGCGTAAACCCGGGGGTGGGGAGCTTGCAGTGAGCTGAGATCCGGCCACTGCGCTCCAGCCTGGGTGACAGAGCGAGACTCTGTCTCAAAACAAAACAAAACAAAATTAATTGAGATATAATTCACACATAAAATTCACCCTTTTAATATGTACAGTTCAGTGGGTTTTCATATGTTCAGAAGCTTGTGCAACCGTCACCACTACCAAAGTACAGAGCATTTTCATCAACCTAAAAGAAGTCCTGTACTTATTAGCAGTAACGCCACATTCCTCCCTCACCCCAGCCCCTGATAACCCTAATCTATTTTCTATCTCTATGAATTTGCCTATTTTGGACGCCTCTACCGACATTTTCCCCTCCCTCCTTGGCAACCTCCCTTCCCATGGCCACTTTCTTGGACACTGTCATCACTGCAAATATTAAATCCCTAAAATATTAAATTCAATCATTTTTTTTTGTTTTTTTTTTTGAGACGGAGTCTCTGTCGCCCAGGCTAGAATGCAGTGGCATGATCTCAGCTCACTGCAGCCTCTGCCTCCTAGGTTCAAGTGATTCTCCCGCCTCAGCCTTCCAAGTAGCTGGGATTATAGGTACGCACCACTATGCCCAGCTGATTTCAAGCAGCTCTTCTGATCTCCATCTCTTCTCTTTCCTCTACCCTCCTGTTACTTCTCTGCACTTAGTCTTTCATTTGATTCTAAACTCTGGTCCCTTGACCATTCTCCTTTTTCCTTACCTATTCTGACTACCTGCCCTTTGGTACCTGGGTCTTGCAAACCTTTGTACTATTCACTTGCTAACATCTTCAATTTCTTCCCCCTTATCTTCGCATTGCAGCTGTTGGGTGCAGCTTCGAATTTGGACCAGTCCAATGATCTGGCTACTCCATCATGCAATCCTGCTCCCACTCTACTCTCAGTATCCTGTGCCCTCTACAGAGCCCAGGGTGGGGGCCCAGGCGGCATGGGGGAAAACATTGTGCTAAGTGAAAGCAGCCAGTCGCAAAAGAGGACATATTGTATGATTCCATTTATATGAAATGTCCAGAATAGGCACATATATAGGGACAGAAAGTAGACTAGTGGTTGCTAAGGCTGGAGGTGGAGGTGGGGTAAGACGGGAATGAGAGGTATGGGATGATAGCTAAAGGGTATGAGGTTTCTTTTAAAGGTGATGAAAATGTTCTGAAATTGACTATGTGATGGTTGCACATATCTATACATATACTAAAAACCACTGAATTATATACTTCAAAATTCATGAATTGTGAGATATATGAAGCATATAGCAATAAAGCTGTTTTAAAAAATCATCCTGGGGATGTCAGCAAAATGGATGATTAGGAAGCTCCAAGCTCTTGTTCCCTCATGGAAAGCTACACACACACACACACACACACACACACACACACACACACACACACACCCAGAGACAGAGAGAAAACTGGCTGAACTAACTTTATAGGAGCTCTGGAAAACAGCCAAAGGTTAGAGCAGCCAAGTAATGCCTAATCAAAGAAAGCCTCCTTAACTGCACCCTGGGTG